GTAATAACTAATAAGTGTGCTTTAAAATGAAAACCAAATTTGATACAATTATAAAAAATACAACCATTAAACTAGCCATTAAACTAAATGATACCCCAATTACCAACAAAGAATCTGTTAAAATGTTAGGTGTAATATTCGATAAACGGCAAACTTGGTCTCCCTACATAAAACACTTAAAAAAAACCACAAGCAGCTCAATAAAATTAATCAAAATATTATCACACACTTCATGGGGCGGTGATTCCAAATCTCTAATAAAAATATACAACGCAATCATTCAATCAAAAATTAACTACGGGTCAATATTATTATATAGAACAGCAGCCAAATCAACCCTAAAACTGATTGATACGGTTAATAATATCGGATTAAGACTAGCAATAGGTGCCTTCCGGAGCAGTCCCATACTCAGCATTTATAACATAGCCGGCGTACCCCCCCCTACACTGAGAAGAATAGAGCTATCTATTAAAAACATCGCTAGACTTGCTAGTCGCAACGATGTCAAATATAGTAACATAAACAACGAAATTTCTAAGCTGATCAATGAAAATGTATTTTGTAATTTGTAATTTGATTAAAACTTTTATTCAATAATAGTTTTAAATACATTAACTAAACCATTATTGTTAGTTTATAAAATATCTAGTTGGTATGTAGAATAACTAGTTGAAGTATATATTTATGGATTCATTCAATACATTAACTGAAAGTACCCGTAATTCTATAAAATAACTAGTTATTCTATAGAATTACGGAATTTCATACATTAACGCTAACAGATACACAGAACTCTATGCCCACACGGTATACGTGCATGTGTTCTCACACCATCTCTACACACAACACATAGACCCTCTTCATTTCTACGAGGAAACATGGTCACAATATTTTGAGGAACAGGAGCATATGGTATTTCTTGTTCTTTATCATTACCATATTGCTCCTCCCAAATGGCCAAGGCCAAATCCTCAGGCACAAAGAAATCTGCCTCATTATATTCTTCTTCTGGATCTAAATTAAATTAAATATAAAAATAAAATAATATGCAGGAAGTAAGAAGATAATTACTCAGTATATTATTGACAGCTTGATTTTCAACGTCTGCTGGAACTTCTTGTTCAGGATCATTTACTGGAATATCAAATAATATGTTATGTATAAATTATGGTAAGAAAAATACCTAGATCATTGTCAATGACATAAGTTAAGTTTACATTTTTACATTTTAGGAAGGTAGTATAAGTGGAAGATTAAGTTATAACTTACTTTCTGAATTATCAACAACATTGTTATTCAATAGAAGATCTTCAACAACCTCAACTACAGGTGCATTAATCACATTAATCACATTAATATCAGCTTCTTCTTCAGAATCTATTGAGAAGTTAAAGACCAAAACTATTTATATGCAAATAAAATACTTTAAGTTATTTTAATGTATATAATATTAGTTATTAATGTCTATTTATTATTCATTGATAAAATAGGTACCTACATTTTAGTTTTTTTAAAGTTTTAATCTCAACAAGAATAATAATTTAATTTGAAACATAAATAATTATTTTATAAAGTAATAATTGTATATGATTTTGTGAGGATCATAATGGTCCTTAATAAAATACTAAGAAATCATGTAAAATGTACATGCTCTATGATATTTATATATAGCTACTTGGATAATTGATTTTACTCTATATTTTATTATAGGTACCTTCACTTTCATCTTGCCAGTTCAACTCTCTTGTTAAGTAACCATCCACACAGTGTGAGCACTGTATCAAGAACTCTTTAATTGTAATTGCTCCTGTGGTAAGCAGAACTGTTGCATGCTTAATACGAAGACTATTTAAAATGAATTTCATTTTTGTGCTCCGTGTTGTAGCCATTCCTGCTGCCAATTGCTTCACCACAATATGTTGCTTCATTGATAAGTTATTCAAGTGTTCTAGGTAGGTAAAATCAACATTTAATTTTAATTATTTATTTCCATGGGACATTAATTTTAATTTTATAATATTCATTAACCTATATTTACACACATACATGGTTTTGAGTATTTTCTTATAATAGCAAATAACAATTACAATTTATAAGGTGTTGGATTTATATGCTCTTTAATCCTTCTAAATATTATGCCTAAAAATATAGTTACTAAATTATTAATTAAAGCAACATTTATTTTAACACGAATTCTATACAATAAATGACTAGAAACCTACTATTGATTACCGGTATTTTTTTTTATATGTACCTATTGTAAATTTGGGTAGAAACTATAAAAAATTGAATACATTTTATTTATGTTTAAATTTATTATTAACAAAAAAACTATTTAGTTTCAATATTTATGTTTTATCAATTAAATTTAATCAGTTATACTTTAAGAGTTATACTGTATATTTTATCAATTACAAATCCTTCCTACTTGTGTTATAAATGGCTACCTATGCTTAATATCAACATGTATTAAAGATTTATATACCTATTACACTATCTCGATTTAAAATAAAAAAGACAGAAATGGTAGGTATACAAAGAAGTCTTAAAAAGTAAAAATAAATAAAATTGTATGATTTAAGTAATTCTTTTCTTTAGATTTTTTCTTTTTATAGCTAAAATAACTAATACCTAAATACATATTATAATTATATAACTATTTCTGTGTCACTATATAGAAATACATATAAATCTAAGATTACATTATTAATAACAAAAGCTAATTATTGTTAATTATAAAAATTTAATTTGTTTTCAGATTCTCCCAAAAGAAAATATATACAATTTTTATTTTTTATCCACATTTTACTATTTTTTTTAATTTGAAAAATTAGTAAAAAAAACTCACCCAACATTCTCCACAAATTTGGGTGTGTCACCTGAAAAGTCTGTTTAAGACTTGAATGAAAACATTCAACGTTGTTATTGGTGCGCCGCGGTTGATTGAATACTGAAAAGCACTCTGGACCTTTTCGAGTGAGCCAAAAACTGTAGAAATTAAAAACTATTAGATTGTTTTGAAAATTTTTTTTCCAATCATTAATATATCATTAACTCGATAGCTTATATAAAATTTACCTGTTAAAATATGTAAAAAATCTTGGCATCAAAACATTATTATTTTGGGCATGGATTTTAATCTGTTGAAATCCCTCCTCAATTTGATGATGAGGCAATAGTGCTAACACTGCTCACATTCTCAAACACATTTTAGCCTCTCTCTTTTGCTGAACGTAATTTGAGTAGCCCATTTTTTAAATATTTTTCTGCAAACTCTAAAATAAATTAATTTAATAATATATAAAATGTGAAGAATTAAATATAACAACTGATACAAAAATAATTTCAAAACTGTACAAAATAGAACCAGCAAGAATATACCATTGCTTCTGGACATATGTCGGAGAAGACATTGCGTTGTGCGGTCGATCATAATAGACAATGGTCTGACCTCATAAAATTTTGATTAGAATCTTTCCAACACTTTCCTGTATGAAGCTTTAGTCTTCACTTCCGTTAAAACAAAGCATACAGGTATAGACTAAACAATATTGTATATGGTTTTATTCGTATAATTAATTGGAATTGATTGGTAATTAACAGTTATAATATTTTACATGATTTTGCAGAATCAAATGCAACATAAAGAATTGTTTGCAATAGGGAATTGATGGAACTACTTTGAAAGTGGCGTCAGCGTGTAGTTCTGTGGCACCTTGATGAACGACAGAACTAATAATTTCTTGGTAGAATGTCGAATTATTACATTGATACCTATAAATGAGGTACTTAAATTACAATAATCAGTAATTTTAAATTGTATTAACTATATAATCTTACCTGTTAGCATTTAAATCTAAATATTCGCCCAACTCCCGTAGTGTGGATGGTAATGCTGGACAAACACTTCTTCTGGCCTGCCGCATGTAAGACTCTGCTGTTGGCCAACTATAATTTAAAGCAGCTTCCTGATTTCTATCAAATTTGCATTTCACAAAAATATTGTTTATATTTAAGAATTTTAAAGTGCATTATAATTTATAAGTTACCCTTACCTAAATGATTCCTCATCATAAATAACTTTTAGAGCTTTAGTCTCTATCTTTGACCTTTCAATTAAAGTTGTCCTAAAATGTTTTATAAGTTGTTGTTAATTAAATGTTGGACCATAAGCTAAATGTGTGTGAACTTTTTTTGGTATGATGGTGCCGTTCTCCAGTTGGATTAGTGTGCCTTTACAGTATACATTAGGTGTTGCACAGACATAGTAGCTGTAATACCGTTTTATATATATTTCTATAACTTTTTAATAATAAAAAACTGAGTGTGACTTACCTTTTACCACCAATGGTTTTATTGATTTTATAGTAGAATCCGTCGTGTTCCATTTTTAAAAAAAAATTAAGCAAACACAATTGTAAAATAATTTTTAAGAGATAAAAATATTTAAACAAACTGATCAAATAAAATAGGACTGTTTTAATGACCAAATAACACGTACAATAATGCAGAGTCAAATGACAATAAATCGAGAATTAGGTTATAATACATTCGTAAATATTCCACATTTATCAAATAAAAAAAAAACAATGAGCTAAAAATAAATATGGTTTTTATTTTTAGTGACTCATAATTGACTCCAGGATAAATAATGCCTATCTTTTTTACACATTGGTAATTGCTATGATAATATATTGATGTATTTTCAGCTAAAATATCCAAGATTTTACGTGCCACCATTATAACTAACAAGTTTGACATAAGTTTATGAAAAATATAGCATTAGGGGTCTGTTTCAACTCTTTTTGTAAAATATAAAATATATTTTTTAATCAAATAACAAAAAAAAAATCTATCTTTTAATTTGGCGTCTCTAGTTAACTCATGTTGGTAACTTCGACGCCCCAAAGACTTAAACACGTATTCTACATATACTCTTAAATTGACAGTTTGAAACTGATTTTAGGCGTGCAGTCGTACAACTCGAATGTTATATCACTTTATAACGGTACCTTTGTTATATATTGGTGTATAGCATAAATGCATATTGGGGATGCTTTAAGCTTATAATAGTCATATTAATTATTTCTATTGAAATAACCATACATAATTTAATACAATATGTGCGTTGAATTGTTAGTCGACAGTCAGCACATAAATATTTTTATAACAACATATTTATATGGTATAGATTTTTGTTAACCCTAACAGCGATTGTAAGAAAAAATAAATATAATATATTTTTCAACTTCATTGTTTTTATATTGACTATTTAGTTTTAACAATATATGGCATGCAATGTAACAGAAAGATCTGATAAACGAAATAACTTATGTTCTGATCAATATTTATAATATTTTTGTTTATATATCATACGTATAGCCGTATAGGTATAGCATAACAATATAACTTCTTTTCGTTCTATTTTCAGTATTAAAAATTTAAAAAAACGTCCTATGACACGTGCAGACTACAGCTTCAATAAATTAATGATAAAAATAAAATAAAAAAATATTGATTAGCACAAAAGTTATTTCATTTATCAGATCTTCATATTAAACTTTGTTAAGATCATAGTCCATGAAGTACCTAAATCTGTTATGATCTTTGGATGGGGTGAGGCCGTTTTCGACCAAAAACGTACCCTTCACTTTTCGGCCGATTCACTTTTCGACCAATTTTTTTTAGACTGATTCCCTTTTCGGCCAAAACAAAATATATATCATATATTAAAAAAAAATAATATATAATAATAATTATTATGTATAAATCACATTTGTACGTATGATTTTGTTAAGTTAGTTTCAAACAATTATTTTAAAACACAATGAATCAGAGCTAACAAAAATCAGACAATGACAGAACATAATAATTATATAACCTTATGCCATTTTTTTTTTTGTAATTTATAAATTATTTTAAACCATAATAAGAATAGGTTTGTGAC